AAAACCTCCTCCAGCTCCAGACCTCCTCCTCCCGATTGGCTTGAGCTTTAGCCCGTCCCTCGGGAACTGCCAATCGGGTCCTTAGCCCTGCATCTGACGTCAGTGGCGTCGGTTTACACCCACATTTTCCCCGAAATTTTGGCACGGCGGGGTGCCTAAACCCTGGGAGTCTGACTCTGGCCAGGTGGCCAAGACACCTGATTGTTAAGTTTGGAATTCCATTGCAACGGTGCTCGTAAACACTTGCTACAATGGAACTCAAAAGTCTAACAATCCGGAGGCTTGCACAGGAAGCGAAGACAAAGCTCGATTGGACTGCATTTGTTAAAATAAATCCTCTGTCCTCGCGAGGCGCGATGGTAAGCGCTCTCGCGGACCTTTGTCTTCCGTGAGTAACTGATTGTGCGTGCCTTGTTCAGAGTCAGATGTTTTACGACTTGAGATCCTGTCGAATCCCAAACCTTTGGCCGTGTCACTCAGCTGCTGATTTTGAATAGTCCGTTGGGTGGCTTTACTCGAATTCCTAACGCAGCTCGCAGGTGAAAAAGGTGCATGATTTGCATAAGAAATCAGAGGTGCCCGCCCAACGTGCTCTTCTTCGAAAAAGGTTCCTCGAAGCTGAGTGAGCACTGGGAGCCAGCTCTATGCTATGGCAAATCACAAGGATTTGCCCAGCACTTAGAGCAGAAAAGCGAAAAAAAACTAGATATTATTATTGGCTGTCATTGCAACTGTGTATTGGTACCCAATGCACTACATTAGTAGGGCTTTGAGTAGTTTGATCATTATTATTGTTGTTTCTACTAGTTAAATGCTGGGGATCAGGGTTGCCCCCAGGATCTGGGGTTTTTTCTTGATCAGGCATAATGAGGTATAAGAAAAAGGACTTACATAATTAGTAACGGATTAGGTGATTAGGATCATCTTTGAGGTTAAGTACAGCACAAATGTGATGAAGAGAGAAAGAAAAGTTAAGATGAAAACGGAAGGAAACGAACGAAGGAACACTTCTTGGGAAAAGTCCTAGATAGAAGAACAAAACCAACAGAAGCAAAGCTTTTCGAAAAAATAAACTAAATACTGAAATTACGAAAGAGAAAATCGAAACGATCACAACGCTTTGGCGAAACAGCGGGGACTGAACCTTGTTTCTTGTCAGAATTCTTGAAAGCTGCATGGGATGGATGTGTGCTGAGGCTGCTCCGTTGCGGGTTGGGTTAGCTCTTGAAGATTGGGGTAAGTTAATGTTCACTAAGTATGGAGCACTGTGGTTTGCATTGTAGAACAGTTGGTTCGGAGTGTATGAGTCCGGAGAGGGAACTGTTGCTGGTTTTGATGTCGGCGGAGTTTTCTTGGAGTTCGTGGCACTTGTTATAGTTGCCATGTTGCTGGCCGCACAGACTCTCACAACGAATCCCCCACAGAGGGGTTTTTTTAGGTAATTTTAGAGATGGGGGTTCTAGAAGTTAGGATAATGGGGAAATTTAAAGGGCATTTACTCCTAAAAGCCGTGGCTAAGCTTCTATTTCTATGGAAAGCTGGGTTTTGAATTAGGCCACACGGGGCATGTTAGATCAGGCACTATAGGGTTTAGCTTGAGAAAAACCTCAGGGGACGCGAGTTTTGTTTTAGGAACAGAAGGTTTATCACACTTTTTACCTAACTTTAACACTTAGGCAAATTTGGATTCTCGTTCAGGACCCTCTGAAGATGAATAATTTCACCCTACTTTATATAATTCTAATCGATTTCATGCATTCTAGGCAATCCTGAACACATATCTTGAGGGGCAATCTCAAAGTATGCGAAAACGTCCGATGTCCATTATTTTTCTTCTTCCGCCGTCACGTAACTTTCACTGAAGCCTCGAAGAAAAGAGAAATATTTTTTTTCGTGTTACTGGAGGTCTGACATTATGTTTTACTCTAGTTTAAAGGTTTTTGGAGGGGTCAAAAATAATGGTTTTTGGGCAGATTTTTGCAATGTATGCGAAAACGTCCGATGTCCAAGCCCTTTTTTTAAAATTACTCAGCACTGAATGGGAGTTGGAATGGGACACAGTTGTGTGCCTCTTCTACAACCCTTTACTAAGAAACACATGCCTTGATTTTCTTTAAAACGCCGATTCTAAAGGCCTCCACAGTTTTTTGCGGTTTACCAAAAGTTGATTTTTTGGACATCGGACGTTTTCGCATACCTCGATTCAATTGACGTCTGGGGGGCTAAAGTAAAAAAAAAAAACCCTGAATCATTTTTCAACATGTTATAAACTGAATTCAAGACTTTAACAAAGACCCAAAATTTCAAAGGTAGGAGATATTAGGAGGTGAAAAAATGTTTAATATTTTGTTATGAAATTGTAAAGTGAGGAAAAGCTTTCTTTATCAGAATAAGTGACTCAACTCTAAAGGCAGTAAAGCTTATATTTAAGAAATTTTCTAATCTCTCATGATTTTGTTGTCTTTTATTACTCAAGAATTTGTCAACTTTTGCCTCTGGCAGCAAGTGGGCATGCACCGAGCTTTCAATGTCCTGGTTTTTGTTTATCCTGCATGAGCTCCTTTTGTAAGCACATGAAGCTTTTCACTCCTCAACATCAACAATGCCTTGTTAGTTCTACTTTTAATCAAGAAAAATTTTTTTGGAAACGCACCGTAGCCATCGAAATCAATTTTCACCAGCCCTTGTGCTGTATATGTGTGTGCTAATTAACTGTTGTAAATTATAATATCTTAAAAAATCACATAAATTCAGTTCATAAGACTGCATTAGCTTCACACATATGCAGGTCAGGGTTTATTCAAGAGTTGAGGGAAAGTCAGGGAATGGCCAAGAATAATTTAGCTAATAGCCTTAATTTAGTTTTCCACACAAAATTTATGTTCATTCACATTCTTGGTTACCTTGATAGTTTTGTGAAATTCTTTCGATACTTTCATGTTTGATTCATCTGTCACTGCTTGCATTTTTAATTTTGTCAGACATTTTTTTTGTGCTGGGTTAGTTTTGTTTAGTCTGTATGAAATCTATGTATAACAATCTACACAATGACTTTTTTTTTAGGCTGCATGCAACATGGTGAAAATCTTTTTTTTAAAGAGTTGTAGCTTTTCCAATCACTGTTGTTTGTTTTATCAAGATTTCAATTATTTAATAACAATATGAATAACTCAGTTAAAAATGTTAAGTTATGAAAATAAACTGGAATTATAAGAAAAAGAAATTAATCATATTTATTGAATGTCTCTATTTTTAGATTTCTCATACGCAGCCATTTGTGAAACTACTCGTCACGTTTATTTGTACAAGCAGTCTTGTTCAGTCAGCAGTGAATTGAGAAATCGCAAAACTGGCTCTAGGATTGGCGCAGTAGCAAAGCAACACCTGATAAATCTGCCATCCAGTGAAGAGGTTCTTGGAGTCCAAGCAAATGAAAAATCGCTTTTTGTGCTCACAACGGCTCATCTATACAGTCTGAATATCGTCTGATTGTCCGGTATTTTGTGATCTATGCATGTTATTTCATAATTTTGTGAAATATTTTTTTTCGGTGCTGGAAAGGCTCCTGCCAAAGTACCCAACATTACATTGATCACTACCTCTTTGTTGCATTCAAATAATAAAAGCTACCTGTTTTCTGGATCGAGCAGATCGTAAACTACTTTGTTATATACATGGAAGTATCAAGTAGTGAATGAGACACAGGTTTCTACAAGCTAGGAAATGCTCAACAAAGCATCATTAATTCGCAAAGCCTTAGAGGTCATACTCATAGGAGCTTAACTTGAGTATGATATTACTTTTTTTTTTTTTTTAATAATCTCATTCTCTTTTATTCTCTCCATATCTTTGGCTGTAAAGACTGTTTCTTGATTTCTTGAACGTTAACTATTTTACTGAATTGCTCTCATCTTACCTGCGCCCTTTCTGTCTAATGAGTTTGTGCCCATTCGTGAAGATGCCAATACTGCCACAACCACTATCACTATTAATACTGTTGGAATTCGAGGTTTGAGTATTTTCATTTTTAAGAGCGTTGATTTCATCTCGTAATTCATTAATCAAAGTAAGATTGTTGTTTTTAGTTGATTCAAACTTAGAAGCAAACGAGTTTTTTACTTCCAAAAGTAGGTTTTTAGGCACTGTATGCAGGGTGACATCAAAGCTTTTTAACGAAGGAGGGATGTATATAGTGATGATGCTATAATTTCCATCTCCGTGACATTAATTCTCATGACTTTACGGTCAGGGTGCACTGCTGAGAGATTGCGGAAGTTAGCAGCGCGCTCTAGCAACTGGTATAGTTGGTGCTGTACTTCCTAGCTAACAACGCTTGTTCCTGATCGGTCTCCCATCCATGCACTAACCACGCCATATGTAGCTTAACTGTTATAAAAGGAAGTGAGGCCATTGACTTCACCTGAAAACGAGAAGGTACCTTCAATCTGAGGCAACAGGTGTCCTTGGGCCCTCTTGCTGCTCCTCCTCTTCAGAAAGAGGAACAACAGCTTGATGTCTTTACAGCTGTGCAATTTACTTGGCCATTTCATCATTGATATGTTGCTTCTGATTAAGAATTGTTTGATGTAGGTCCAGGATTTTTTGCTGTTGGTTTTGAATCTAAAACAGAGCAAGAGTATAACATTGTGATATACGAGGGACTGGACTATGGATGCATATTCGCGGAAGGTTGGACACCCTGATGTTGCTGTTGCAATTTTTCTAATTGACGTTTCAGGTTGGCTATAATTTGGTCGGCTAAAAATTGAGCGCTTTATAACTTATCATGGGGGGAGAGATAAATTACTTTGAAGATCAAAATTGTCGCAAGGTACTCCATTTGACGGTACAAAAAGATGTTAATCAAAAATTTCTAAATTTATGCAAACCCGTAGCTCGCCAAACCCAGCTCTATTCCTCGAATGAAATCCACACAGAAATCTTCGTATTGGACTACATTTATTTTCTTTCGTTCCGAGTAGTGTCAGACTCATGTTGCATGCACTTGCTGTCGGGAGGATGCTGTCGTTGTTATGCATGAAGTTTATCATTGGCTCGCAGCCCAATCCGGTTGCCAGTTCTTCTTTCAATGAGGTCTTTCAATTTGCTGTTCACCTCCTGAGGGGAAACAAAAAGATGCGATGAAATTCAAGAGAAACGGGCTTAAAATGTTTCCACTTCATAATTTTTGTGGTGAAAAGAAGCATCCATGAGTAGAATTCGTGCTAAGGATCTCACCAAATATTAACAGAAGAATACTTAAATTCCATCAGGGTGGTCCTTTTCAAGTTGCTGTTCCATCTTAGAATTGACTTAAAATAGGATTCATCCGAAATGAACTTGAACCATGCAAACCCGTGTTTCAAGTCCATCTTCTCCAACAGTAACAATTTGAAGCTGCGACTTAGGCACTACAGGATTGTAGGTGTGCGAATCAATCTGAAAAGTCCCCAGTGAATCAAGCATAGCACACAGTGGTGCAAAATTGCGATTGTAGGTCCGCAGATCAGGCTCGAATCCTTGGTACATGGATTGATCTGCAGGATCAATGAAGGGCGGAACGGCAGGGAGTTGGTGATGCTTGGAAAATCTAAGTTGGGCTTCCATCTGGCCCAAAGTAGCGCGGTACATTTCGAATACCGTCATGTTCGGAGCTGGCTGTTTGTTAACGGCTGTTTGGTAACATTTTGCAACCATGAGCCCAAAACCACGTGTGGTGATGGGAAGCTCAGCTGCCGGTTTCGTCTTTTGCGATTCAAGTTGGTTTAGAGTTGCTAAGAACTGGTCAGCTAAGGCTGTTGCTGCGGCACGTTTCTCGTGCTGCTCAGCACGATGCCGTTCTCCGAATTTTAGGCGGTTCTGCACTTTGGTTTTACTAAGCGCACCTTTCCCACGACGTTTCTTAACATCCTTCGCGGGTTCCTTCGTTTCAGGTAGGGTAGAAGTTTCGTCTTTACTAGCCATCAAGAGTGAAGAGAGCCATAGAAATGTGTTTTATACGTAAGAAAGCTCCAAAAAACCTTTTCCCTTTTCCAACAGATGCTGGAATGTTGAGTTGGAGATGAACCATTTCTCATTGTATACATGTGACACTGGCCTACTCACATCTCCAATCTCTGTGGATACCGGTCAAACAAAATGATTTCACTATTACTTAGGCTGAAAAGCCAGCAGCAGTTGGAATACTTTTCGAGACATTAATTTTCGAGAATAGTATTATAACATGCACGGAAAACTAATTCGAGACATACAGGTTTCCGGGACTCGAATTCTCATTGGACTTTGTAGTATTATTATGATTAGCTAGGGGGATTTCTTTTAGACTTGTACGATATTTATCTAACCAGGCTTTAGATGGGAGCTCGTCTTCAAACGGGTTGGCTTTAGATTTTTTTCGAGTTCGGGAAGGAGATGCCACTATTTCTGAATAAGGTCTGGTTAGGTCTTTCATTGAGTATTGATAATTACATATTTCCATAGAATCTTTGGCTGTCAGATTAGTAAATTTATTTTTCAGTTCAGGGAAGTTAGATAAATGACTGTTGTCTATATTAGTTGATTCGGCTGTTCTAGTATTCTTTTGAATTTCTTCAATCCTCGATGTTAGATTTACTTCCAATTCTTTTTCATATGTATTAAGTAATTTTTGAGCTGCTTTGAAGTTAAGGTCATATGTGGCCATAAATTTTTTAATGAGCTTTTGTTTGCGCATTTCAGGGCAAATTGGAGAGAAAGTTTGATGATTTTCCTTTCAATGGAAACATTTTAGGGTATTAGGGCAGATTTCTTGGCCCGCATGTATTTCACTACATTTGTTGCAATGTGACTGACTTTTACAGATTAGGGAATCTTTGAAATAAGCTCTGTGTCCATAATTTAAGCAAGTAGTACAGTTTACAATGCTATAAATGTACGGGGAGGTAGAGCACCTGGAGTAAAAGATATATAACTGACAAATTTTTATATGACTTCCAGAGAATGAGTGTAACCGCCCCACAATATTGGAACCGGATACCTACAGTTACTTTTTTTTGAAAATCCCCTTAGCGAATGGTGATTCTAAACAGGGAGGAAACACAACGGAGTGTTTCATATCATAGAAAGTTCATTTCTCACAAATGAAGGAACATGCCATTTCCATTTCGCATATTCGATTTCAGTGCAAGGATAGTATTTGTTATATGATTCTCTCCAGCGCTTCCTGCCAACCTCGAACCATGCGAAGTCGTTGTTGGACACTGTGAAAAGGAAATTCGTAGGAGAAGTGATGAGAAGAGAAATTTGTAGGAGGAGTACAAGTTGCGGCCAGTCTGGGTGAATTTGATGTTGTGAACGCTTTTCAAAACGTGGACGTGCGATGAAACGTGTTGAAATGTATCAGCGCCCTTGTTTTTGCGTGCCACCACCAATTCATCTTCTCCTCCTTCACTTCTGGAGTCCGTAGACTATGGCCGTGAGTTCACGCTCAGGGGTAGAATGAATGCGCTCGGCTTCGTTAATGAAAAAAAAAGAAAATGTTCTCAACTCTGTAAATCAAATTCTACAGCTAGTGATTGATCAAATGAGGATGTTTCTCTTGCACAGTATTATTCTCAGTCAGCACAATTATTGCTCCAATGAGCATCTATCTGAAAGCAGGTTTGAGATGTAACAGTGTAGTATGATTAAATTAACAAGAGTGACCAGTGATACTTCGTAATACTCATAAGGATGCATAAAGTTTCAAGGTTATAAGCACATTAGTCCGAATGACTATAAAAAAAATCTTTACCTCGTATTTCACAAAAGTTTTTAGGATTCATACAATATCAAAAAAAATAAAATAAAGAAATTCGAATATATACACATGAGCTATGCCTTGAAAATATTGAAATTAATTAGAGTAATCTGATTATCTCTAATAAAGTAACGGAGTTCTTTAATTTTTTTTGTAGACAGTTCTAATCTCCCTCTTTGTCCTCGGAAAAATAACCGTCGTCTAATCCGTAGACCAAAGTGGTTAGGAACGATTGGATTTTTAAACTTTCGATCTCCGTTTGCACAGGTTCCTCGCCAGGGAAGGTATCTTCGTACCACTCGAAAATTTCGTTGGCAATCTCCATATCTCTATCCTCTTCGTATCTTACATATGAGATGTTTTCAAATTCATCTATCAATTGTCTGGGTTGGAGGGTATTTTTCGTCAAAAATAACTCCTCCAATTTTTTTTTGTTTTTTTTTTTTTTTTTTTTTTTTTTTTTTTTTTTTTTTTTTTTTTTTGGGGAATTCAAATAGCCCTCAAGGGCTAATCCCATTCAGTTCCAACAACCGTCCCTAATTTCCCTAACCTACTTTACAATCCAAATTCCTTCCATCTCTAACACTTGGGCAACAATTCTCCATCACCCCAATTTGTTTCTTGAAACTTTAACATTTCCCTAACTACCGTTTTCTTAAAACCATTAAGATCCAATTGTTCCCAATTATGGCAACCGAACAACACATAGTCCCTCATACCTTTGTAATATTCTCTTTTATCACCCTGCTTGTGCCACTCTTTTCCCCTATTAGTTTACAACGTACCCAACTATGATCACTAACTTTTCTCCTATGTATTACCTTACATTCCCTAATTTTCTCAACTTTTCCCCACTGGAAAAGCAAGTCAATTTTAGACGCACAGTCTTTGACTATCCTAGTAGGTTCATCCACCACTTGCACCATCCCTAAACTATCCACTACTTTCTTCATTTTGTTTCTTCCCCAGTCTTTCTCTAACTCCCACCTAACATTGAAGTCTCCCATCACCACACCCTCCCTACTTGTTTCTACCAATTTACTGTACCTTTCTTCAAACCACCCAACAAATTTAGATAAACTGGTATTTGGAGATCTGTAAAGCATGTCCAACTTCACTCTATCTTTCTCACTTATTTTAACATTTAAACTTATAACCCAAGCTAATTTAGACTCAATTATTTCCGTCCCTAGGCATTCGATTCCTTCCTTGACATAAACTACTACCCCACCTGTGTGGGAACTATGCGATTTTGATTTGAACATTTTAAATCCTTTAATTTTTATTTCTCCATCTGATACCCTATCCGTTACATGAGTTTCCCCAACACCTAAGATATCAAATTCTCCATCGTCCGCCCATTCCCGAAATTCATCCATTTTCCTAACCAACCCATCCACATTACCGTACCAAATCCGTAGCATACCCCTATCACTACTACTTTTACTATTATTATTATTAATATTTGTAAATTTCCCCTGTGCCCTATCATTACTAATTTTCCCTATATGCCTCATAATATCCGTCCCTACCACATTTACCTTCCCTAGCTC